AATATACTAGCAATTATAACAATTCTATTAATATGCACAAATACAAAGATAATTAAGCACGAGCAATTTGAGCAATATAAAGACAGTAAGTAAAAGGGAAGAGAAGGCTAACGATGTCGTTATGGAGATTCGATTCCAAACATGATCTATGTCCCCCGTTACCAAGCTCTTCATCACGAGTAAGACCTTTTTCACTATATTGATCGACTTATGGTGAAATTCAATCATTTACAAAACTTTCGACGACTTACAAACAAGGAGCAGCGATCATTTTACAATGTTAAAACTCCTGGGACCTCAACACGACCTACAATTTAAATAAATTTAAAAATAAAATCTTCTCTTTTTAATGAATGATAAGTTCAAAGTGGAGTACAAGAAAAGAAGTAGGCTAACACTATAATAAATAGCGATAAATAAAGCTCAAGAGTTAGATTTGAAAAACTTTGATGAAGGAAATGATTTTCAAAGTCGAGATCAATCAAAAGTTTTTCAAAACAAAAATGATTTGATAATAATAAGTAAGATGAGAAATCAAAACAATTTTAGCACAAAAGAATCTCAATTGAATTCTCCAAAATCCATGTAATAAATGACAAGTGAGTTTGTATTTATAGTAGTGAAAAATGGGAAATTTTTTGTCAAACGACTCAAACAAGATGAGCATCCGGACGTCCAAAACAGTACCAGACTACTGAAAATAGCTGTTACAAGTCAGAGTCAGAACAGTTGAATTTTTGACTGTTGGGGTTGAACCCGACGTCCGGATGGCCAAAAAATTTCAAGGTAGGTTTTTTGCATGACATTTTTACTAGATATTTTAAGGTAAGTTATGTTTAATAGAATTTAAAATTAAGTTTGAAAATCTTACATTTGGAAAATAAATTTTATGCAAACGTTTAACGAGGTGAATTTTTATTGTGCATAAGAAATTCATCACTTGAGTTTTTCAATGAATCATTACTATGAATTAAAGTATTTTACCTTTACAATTGAGTTCAAATATATAGTTCTAATAACCTTAATTGATTTGGCGCGAATGCATGATTTATTGTTCGATTTTGAATTTGACGCCAAGTGCTCGATTTGTCTCCGAGTGTTTTGGCCCGAGTGTTTGATTGAAAATGCTTGATTTCCATACTCAATTGTGAATACTCGATTTCCACCTTGAGTTTTCTTGATCGTCACCTTCATGTCTTTTGGTAACAATTGTTTTGACTTCAATTTGATCAAGTTCGCAACTGGAAAAAATGAAAACTCGAATACAAATGTTAGAGATAAAAATACTTTGTTTGTTATAATCAAAACATGAGATCAACCATATGTTAAAAAATTTTCCCATTTTGATTATGACAAACAAACAGTGATTTGCAATAAGAAAAATACTTTATCGCATAAAATCTATACCATTCTCCCTTATCTTTTATAGATCAAGCATTTAATAATGTTCCCGCTTTCTTATACAAGTCAAGCATGCATAACATCATACATATATTTTTTCCCCTTTTGGCATAAGCAAAAAGATTACAAAGTAGACAATGAGAACAACCATAGGAAAAGAATGAATTTGCATAAGATTGAAAATATAGTAAAATATTCATGATGAGGCAAATCCAAAACATTAATCATGAAGTGAAAAGAAATATCCATCATAAAGCAAACAATGTGAGAATTTTATCATGAAGAAAAATAACGACTACAGCTCCTGAGGAGGGAAGTGGGCATAGAAATGGGCGTAGAAGGCATTCTACTGAGCCTGTATCGCCGCCTATTGTGCTTGAATGGCTTCCTACTGAGCTAGTATGGCGGCCTGTTGAACTTGCATCTGATGGAGCATCCAGCCGAGGCCATCAACTGAGGATGTGAGAGAGTCAACATGTTGTATTGATTTTCGATAAACGTGAAGCCACTGCCCATAGATCGAAGGATACTGGATCCTGAAATGTCGAGGGGAGGGATGAGAGCCACCAAACGTCATCGTCGTCACCCTTATCATCCCCTTCGAATGGTAGAGTCGAAGGAGCTGAGGTAGGGTCGAACCCCTTGGTATGTGCCACCTATTGACCGTGTTCTTTGGTGATTTTCTTGCGTTTAAGGGTCTTAATGTCTATAGTGTCGTTGGGTCGAAGTTGGACAAATGTCTCATCATTCAGTGAAACATTACAGTGTTTAAAATTTTTTGTGAGAAGCACATCATATGGTAAAACTTTAACATGTCGTGATGAATGAACAATGTTCATGAGCCCTAATGCAATAATGGAAAAATAAAGTTTCCTACAGACAAGAAAAGATTCGAGAAGAAAGAGATCAAATGAACTCATTTCGTCCTGATGAACCTTTCGTTGTAGGATAACATTGGTCATGATGTTTAGTAAAACCTTGCATAGAAGGGTCAATTGATTTGCACTAAGTTTTGTGATATTTTCAAAAAAAATTCCCGGTGACCCGTCGACAAGCCTCGGTAGGGTCATAACCATCTAATGTGAGATGTGAATGTGAAGAAAAATTTGTGTTGCACACACCTTGAGTTCTAAAATGTTACGAATGAGAGCCTTGATTATGATAATGTGTTTATTTTTAATCAAGCATGAAATGTCACCGGAACGTGAAATAGACATGTCTTTGTAAAAAAATTTCATGAGTCGTGGATATGTATGCTCTTCTAAAGTTGCAATATTCAAAAAGTTCTTCTATATGAAATGCGGGTGCTTTAATAGTAAAATCCACAAAATCAACATTTTTACTAATCAAAATGGGAGATTTTTCAAATGGGTTGGTCGACACCTCGGGTTCCAAGTCTAACTCTTCGTCGGATGAAGGAGAGTGAGATCGCCTCACCGTACCCTTGAGCTTTTTACTCGTTCGTTTTGAGCCCGACATTGTTGAAAATCGAGAATGAAGATGGGTTTAAGGAATATGAGAGGTTAGGGTTTTGATTTTGGATTGTAGTGGATGAAATTGAGAATT